GCCCACAGAGGCCCGTGCACCGGAGCCGCGAGCTCGCTCCCTTGGCCCACAACCGCGGCTTCGAAGCCAGTCCTGGAAAACTCCCGAATCGGGTGGCGGTCGCAGGGCCCATCGACAAAGACATGGCCCGAAAGCGCAATCCTATCAACGCCGTCCTCCTCGGGAGCGACCACCCCCCCAGGAGCATAGTTCCAGCGCGCAGTGCTTCCATCCGTCAATGCCCGCGGAAAAAGAGTCACCTGGATGCTGGAAAAGGCACCTGGTGTAATGCAGGAGGTCTTCGTGAGAGTCAGCCGCCGAAGCGGGCTGGATCACGCCCGCGTGCTTTTACCCAGCGAGTGAGTCTCTGTTTTCTCCGCGTGCAGGATAGCTCCAGAGTTTCAAAAGTAGTGTGTCAGGGTGCTGGCCGCGCAAAGCGCTTTGAGGTGGAAGCCGTCTTCATTATGTCAAAGCGCAACCTCCCAGCAATTCCTTCTTTGCCGGCCACTTCTCTCTCCAAATTTCTGATGGCGGCTTGGCGCAAGAGCACGGCGACCAACTTAGGTGAGGTGAGCGTGGGCGAGATCGGGGGCCGAAAGTCGTCGACGAGCTCCGCGAACGAGTTCATCGACCAAGCAACTCGAGCGGGGGAGAGCCTGGAGGCCATCGTGGGCCTCGAGACCTTGCGCCAGGAGGCCTTCTTGTTACCTCGAAAAGTCAGCTCCCAAGCTCCACTGAGCTCGCCCCGAGGCAGAAGGGTGTACAGTCGGGGCCCTGGAGAAGGAACCCTTTTCGTTGGGGAGGGGCTCCGCGTCCCTTAAGTGCTTCGCAGCTTGCCTCGGGTTCTCCTTATGCTTTCGATCGGGAAACGAAGTTTAACTTATGGAAAAAAGGGGCCTCGTTCCATATTTAGGGCGAAGAGAATTATGCACATGCACCGATCCTGGCAAGGCCCATCTTTGACCCAGGATCGGTGCATATGCCTTCCTGGCCAAGCTAGGAGGGCGTATGCACCGATCCTGGGCTCAGGACGGGCCTGGCCAGAATCGGTGTATGTGCATAGTTTTTTTTCCTCTAATATTTTGTGTTCCTTAGGTCAAGGCCCCGACTGTAGTCGAAGGCCCCAGTGTCCAAGAGCCAAACCGCCGCGCGGCGCAGGCTGGGGCCGGCGGCGCCACGCCGCGCAGGGTCCTCCGCCTCCTCCTCCGCCTCCTCCTCCTCCTCCTCCTCCCTCCTCCGCCTCCTCCTCCTCCTCCTCTTCCTCCTCCTCATCCTCCTCCTCCTGCTCCTGCTCCTCCTCCTCGTCCTCCCTCCTCCCTCCTCCCTCCTCCCTCCTCCCTCCTCCTCCCTCCTCCTCCTCCTCCTCCTCCTCCTCCTCCTCCGACCGCATGCCCGCCGACGGTTTGATCGCGGAAGCAGCCCCCTTCCTGACCTTGAGCAGCTCATGGTCGACGCCCCGCACGCCGTGCTCCCGTGCGACGCCCCAGGGTTTGGACCGCCGTTGCAAGTCCGGATGCCGGGAGCTCCAAGGCGGGGGTGCTGCTTAGTGAGGCGCCCGGCCCTCTTGATGCAAGTCTGCATCCCCACGGGGAACTTGGCGGATCTGCGACCCCTGCGCCTAGCGTGCCCGCCACTGGCATCGACCCCCAGGTTCGTCGCGACCGTGAGGTGGGCCGTGAGGTTGGGGCCCGCCAGGTCGCCAAGATGATCCTGGAGGGCTTTAGCTTCTGCTGGGCTAGAAGATATCATCGCAATCTCATCCTCGTCGGTGCGCGCACCCATGTCTAACGTGATGACATGAGGAGGAGGAGGAGTAGGAGGAGGAGGACGAGGAGGACGAGGAGGAGTAGGAGGAAGAGGACGAGGATGAATAGGCGCAGGAGGAGGATCAGAGGTTTATGATGATGGTGAGGAGGAGGAGTAGGAACGGGAGGAGGAGGAGTAGAAGGAGCAGGGAGACCGGGACTGGGAAGGGGGAAGGGGAGGACCTGGGTGATGAGAATTAGTGATAGTAGTACTAACATCAATAGTGTTGTCATCAGTAACGCTAGTAATGCTATGCATTATAGTAGTAATGCTACAAGTGATACCACGAAAATGATTGTGATTTGCTATTGCTACTACTCCAACTGTTACACTTATTTATTACACTTCCAATTTCTCTGCTGCTGCTGCTGCGACTACGACTACGGCTACTACGGCTACTACTACTACTACTGCTACGACTACTACTTCTACTACCACCATCAATTACCAAGAGCAATAATCGTGTGACTAAGGATGATCAAATTCTACCTTGGGATATTACGAATAGTGGTGCGCTCAAGAGAATGAAGAACACAGCGAATAGTATTAGAGTTATTTTTTGTAATAATCAAAATGCGGACCGTCGTACTACGCCAAATAATAATATTCAGACCAGTAATATCAGTAGTTGTCGTCGTCGTAGTATAGTAGTAGTAGTAGTAGTAGTAGTAGTAGAAGAAGTAGTAGTAGTAGTAGTAGTAGTAGTAGTAGTAGTAGTAGTCGTAGTCGTAGTCGTAGTCGTAGTCGTAGTCGTAGTCGTAGTCGTAGTCGTAGTCGTAGTCGTAGTCGTAGTCGTAGTCGTAGTCGTAGTCGTAGTCGTAGTAGTAGTAGTAGTAGTAGTAGTAGTAGTAGTAGTAGTAGTAGTAGTAGTAGTAGTAGTAGGTAGTAGTAGTAGTAGTAGTAGTAGTACTAGTACTAGTAGTAGTAGTAGTAGTAGTAGTAGTAGTAGTAGTAGTAGTAGTATATGTAGTAGTAGTAGTAGTAGAAGTAGTAGTAGTAGTAGTAGTAGTAGTATTAACATGATAGTAATAGTAGTAGTAATTAGTATTAGTCGTATTAGTAG